GTTCTCGGGGTTCACCTCCTTTTGCAAAGAGCTGACAATTTGTGTGAACGTCGGTCTCGTGTGAGCTTCGATCCCCCAGCAGTCCAGCATCAAATCGGCGCTAAAATAGCAGTCAAAATTCTTGGAAATTAAAATATAGTGGATGATCGATAATCGTTCCAACAAATCGGGAAAATTGTGTGCTAATTGAAAGCCATGATAATGTGGCAGTCTCCGTTGGGACCGGAAATTTTAAGGCGCGCTAAAATCACGGAAACATCTTTTCAGCAGATTTTAGGCCAAACGTCGCAATCAATTCAAAAACCTAAGTGTTATATAGAGAATTGAAGCCTGAATTCTCGCCTACATTTCTTTACCAAAAGATCTTTGATTGGAGTTTTATAGTCGATTTTTCAGACCCTCAAATGAGCCCAATTCTCCAGTCTCCAGCACGCTTCCATTTCTAGCTGTTTTCTAACTTTGGATGTTCGGCGATTTTGGTAAAATATGAATTGAGTTTTTGAATTGATGAATTGATTGCGACCTTTGGCATGCAATCTGCTGAAAAGGTGTTTCCGTAATTTTGACACACCTTAAATGAGCAGTTTGAAGTAGGCATGTTTTAACAGGGACCTTAACACCTTTTAATTCTGGTCAAGTCGAAATGATTCTTTAAAAGACTAATTAGGCGTCTCTTTTTTTTCAAAAAACTCACAAAAATTTCGACGTTCCCGGTGGTGGTGCAAGTCGGTGGCCGCGGAGCAGTGTCTGGAGGAGGTCAATCGACGGGATCTCCGAGTAGGGTTCCTCTCCCAACGAGTACATCTCCCACATCAAAACACCGTATGACCAACTGATAAGGGAAAGGCAACAATAGGATGTGGTCAAATGAGATGAGTCGAATGGTCAAATAGACCATTCGACGCAGAGTTTCACACTGATTCCGAATCTCCCTTTCGTTTCTTAAAAAATAGCTTTCTATAAAAAGTTATAAGTGTGTTAAGTTTTAGCGTAAAAATGCGTAAATTTGGGGCCAAATAGGAGTGCGACATCAAAAATCTAAGAATATCATCTTCAACTTGAATGCGATCTGATGGAAGAAAAATGATAAAACATTGGTTGATAAAATAATAAAAAATTGCTTGATAAAATGATAAAACATTGATTGATAAAATAATAAAACATTAGTTGATAAAATGATAAAACACAGCGGAGACTCTTTTTGACGACTGTATAACTTTTTATAGAAAGTGGTTTCGCATAAAAAACGAAAAACAAATTGGGAATCAGAGTGCAAGAAATTCTGCGTCGAATGGTCTATGGCTGATCTCATTTGGCCACATCCTACTGTTGCCTTTCCCTTGTGAGAGAAGTTGGAGGTGAGATTGTTTAGCTTTCACTCACATATCGGATTTTTCGGTAAAAATGTGTAGTTCCATCGCCTCGGGCGCCGTCCATTTGATGGGGAATTGTCCCTGGACGGATTGGTAAAACAAGCGATCCCCATAAGATCGACTCAGTCCGAAGTCACAAAGCTGTGAATGAATAGAGATTGAGTTCAACTTTATTGACTTTAAATAGGGTTGTTACGTGATACTCAAAAGTCGGCTTTCAAAGAGCCTTCGAAAAATCAATCCTAAGGGCGCTGAATACCGTTTATACCCTAATAGTAGTGACAAAAAAATGATGAGGCTTCGCCCTTTCACCTGAGCGATAAAAAGTTGCACTGATTTGCGAGTTTTCAACGAAATTCTCTCAAACCTTTCCATAACATGGATATCCCACTATGGAAACAATCCAAATTGAATTTCATTCACTCATCGCCGATAAAAGCGAAAAACTGCAAAATAGATTGATGCGTAAATTCAATTTGATTTATTTCCAAAGTTGTGTCGATGGAATATGCATGTTATGGCAAAGTTTCAGAGATTTAGTTGAAAACTCGCAATTCGGTGCAACTTTTTATCGCTCAGGTGAAAGGGCGAGGCCTCATCATTTTTTGTTACAACTATTAGGTTGATGCAAAGTCTTTTTCATTTTTTTTCGTACTTCTGTTAAAAAGTAACAAATTCACCAATTAATCTATAGTTTGCTCTATAAAAAAAGTGTTTTTTTGTTCAATTTGCATCTTTTTAAATGAATTTCGGTTGACTTTCAAGCAAATTCGAGAGTGAAAAGCGCCTTTTTCGTAAAAATCTATAAAAAACTCTACGGAAAAATGGGCTGAATGAATTTCTCTGAAATTTTGGCGAAATATCAAACTTTTTTTTCTCTATCTTTTATCTATTGACACGAAGATAGGTTTTCTTTAGCTAAGGTGTCTAAACCGCATCATCGAGTTAGCCCTTTTTGACTACCCGACTTCATACTCTCAAGAAAATCCAGGCATTAAATATTTTTAAACCCGTTTTAATGTTATTTTGCAGAAAAATAATTGGTTTTTCTAATGAAATCAACCGTAGTTTAATTGGTGCATTTGTTGGCTTGAAACGGCAGACGAAAAAAATGAAAAAGACTTTTGCATCAACCTAATATTAGAGAAAATACGTTAGATTAACTTTGACTCTACCAACTTTGGCCACTTTGTTGATGGTGAGAAGAATATTTCTGGCGGCCACGTCTCGATGAACGATTCCTTTGGAGGAGAGGAATTGCGAAAAAAAAAATCGAGATTTTAAAAAAAAACTAATCTTTTAGATGTAATAATCTTATGAATGTGCCTCTATGTGTTTTTTTTTTACCAAAGCGCTCGCCACTTGCCAGAGGATCGGCGCCAAATCGCGCTCGTGCAACACGAAATGGCTATTAATCTGAAAAAAGAGATTCTTTTGTTTTAATTTTTCCATCTCATACATGATTCTCGAATGAATTCAACTCCTTCAACAACGAGTACAAACTGCCGAGCTCACATAACTCGGTGATAATCAACGGATTATCCGGCTTTGTCGAACAACCCAACAACGAGAGCAGATACGGATGATAGCCCACGAATTTCATCAAGGTAATCTCGTGGAGAATTTGTTCTCTTAAAGCTTTTTTTGAGATTTCTAGGAAAAACTTGGGAGAATTCGATTCGTGGGCGTTAACAGGCGACCCAAGAAATTTGACGGCCAACTGCTTAACGGCCAGATCACTAGAAAAGCAAGGAGAAATTGTGTTCGGAATACAAGAACACAACCCGGAGGAATCGGAAAAGATTCTGGATCGAGTGCTGTAGTTTTTATCTGACTAGTAAAAAAACAACCCGTGCACAAAGGTTTCAAATATCTCCGCTCACCGAGAGCAAGTAGTCTTATTGCCAGACAACTAATAGTCACAATCTTTTCACTTGGTTGGATAGAGCTTTTCAAATGCTATCCGATGGCGAAAACACTCCTTAACACTAGAGCGTATTTTGCGAAACTTTGGACCCTTTGGAAAAGGGATTAACATGAATAGCCAAATCCCAGAAAAAGAGATTCTTTTGTTTTAAGTTAACTTAGCACATGAGGGCTTAAAAGAATCTAGAATTTGAAGCCGGCTGTGAATTTAGACCAACAAACTCCATTATTTTCATTTATTTTCAAAGTTTGAATATTTTATTTTATTTTATTTTTAGTTTCTAGTTTCTAGTAGTTCTCCATAAATGTATACTCTATAGTTTTTGGTCAGAATTTCCTCTAGAATTGTTTTGAGGCTTCAAAAATTATTGGTCACCTTAGAAAAACGCGATCTTGCTTAATTATCCAATTCCCGACCCTATATCCAAAGCAATGTGCCAGACGCCGTTTTCTCCTACGAGCGATACGAAAAGAACATACCACGTAAAAGCCCCGATAAAACTAACATCGGATTCGGAAAGAAGACCCAAAATTACAGGAAATTTGAGCTCATTTGGTTCAGCGATTCACGAGAAACATTCGTGACTCAGCATTGCGTCATGCGGTCGTCTATGTGTTAAAAAGTTGATTTTAAGGGGGTTAATACATGATTTTCTGCTTATCATCTCGAAAAATAAACATAAGTGAACAAAATGAGCTCACCTCTCTGTCTCGACAGCGGGTACTTTGACGGCCACCGTGTATCCGATCGATGATGGCGGAAAGAGAGTCTAAAAAGCGATAGTCGTTCAATCAGTTCCCTTTTTTCATTTCACCGTCAGCATCGGGTTAACGAGAGTGCATGGGAGTTTCCCGTGAAAGATCCCACTGAAGACATCGGAGGAGATCCCTCTGCCGATCCTTTCTTCCAACACCAACAGCGGAACAAAGATCTCCCAATCGTCTCTGATCTCCGCCTTTATTATAGCATTTAGTTGTGGGAATTGCAAGAGCTCTTGCAGGAAGTGCTTCTTTCGGCGATTCAATCTAGACTCACTCTAAGTAACACGTAAGAAATCCATAGCTCAATGGCGTGGCATGGCGATGCTCACGAAAGACAAATTCTGTGTTCTGAGTTTTTTACAAACCGAGCTTTTCGGCGACGCAACATGATGCCAAGAAGCACGAAAACAAATACAAGAATCAGCACTGGAACACACAGCAACCACAATTTGTTGAAGTTTTTCGAAGTTTCCAATGGAATTGTGGTGGTAACCTGAAATGCATAAGTACAACACTGTATTTACCGTAAATACTGTAATAGTATCCCACCCCTCTCGTACAGTCGCGTAGTCGCAAAGTTTTTCTAGTATTTCATTTGTTTCAAAGCACCCGTACTTCCAAAAATGTGTCTTTGGTATCAAAAAATAGCCCTGAATTTCAGCTATTATTTGATTTCAGCTATTATTTGATTTCAGCTATTATTTGATACAAAGTACCTAAGCGCACTTTGTAGCATAAATCAGTGTCGTGAAAAATGCGTTCAAAGCTAGACTACGCACCACTCCGCATCGTCACTATGGGGCTGGGATATATTACAGTATTTATGGTGTCTTTCGTTTTGAATTCTTAAAAGATTTGAGACTAGGAATCATTTCTATTATCGTTTGCTGTAAGTATTTCATTAGCTTCTAATGTTCATGAATAGGTTATGGTAGCTTAACAGACTTTCTCAAGCTTTTGACTAGACATCTCCGTCGTCGGAACACATGCGGGATTGGGTGTCATTTGTGCAAAGAATTGATGGTCGGCTCTTGGGAAAGAGTCATCAGAGTTCTACAATCATTTAATGCGTTAACAGTATCGCTTCTCTTGCATCAAACCGCAGTCATTATTGTCATCCAAAAGGCACATCGGCCACTCGAGACGCGAAAAGTGAGCTGCTGGATCGTGGCCGGCCAACGAACGTTGGAACGTTGCGATATTTCACAACTGAAGTTTAGAAAACAATCCCCAAGTGCTTACTGAATAAACCTATTCATCGTCAACCATGGCTCCTGATTTGTGTCGATTGTTGTACCCGAATAGACGGTCAACGCGCAGTCGCGATCAATCGTTTCCTACAGTGAGATTTGAACTCATAAAATGGAAATAACAGAACACCCAGTTTTACTACAGGATGACCGCCAATTATAGTGACTCACTTCGGAGGGAATAGCTCAGCGAGAACTCAATGAGTCCGTCTCAAAAGTTTTTTTCGTTGTTCATTGGGATTTGTGTCTGGGGAGGTCCACAAAGTTTTATCAACTCTTAGGTTGTTACATAGAGATGAATATTCAAGCATTTCATTTAGAGATGAATATTCAAGCAATCGACTTGCGATTTTCCCTACCAGAAAGCCGTAGTATTTCTTTATAACCTGCGACTTCCAAAATTTATGAGACCCTCAGAAGTGAGTTGCTAGAATTGGTGGTCACCCTTTAGGGTACCACCGGATTTACTACAATGTCTAATGAAACTTCAATGAGCCTTGTCAGCTTATTTACCCATTCAATTGTCGAGGCGACGATCGATCCGTTCATCTTGCCGCCCAACATCACAAAATATGGTTGCTCCGGTGATTTCGGTTGGGAAAAGTCAAGCGAAATATATGCATTATCACTTGTTGGAAACGGGTAGATCGAGACTGGGACGATGACTGGGGCTGAATGGAGGTTTGGTGTGATAATAAGGGAATTGTTTTGTTTTTAGTCTTGGTTTTGCTTTGTTATAGCCTAACACCCGCTAAAATGGTTGGCGGTGAGATAACATGAATCTTTCCAAAAAAACATCTTACCCCGAGATATAATTTCTGAATTCAGACAAACTGGGAAATTGTTTTCAGCTAAACAAACCGTTTTCAAACACATTCAAATGAAAAATATAAAACGCGTCGGCGATCGGAATGAAAATTCGAGTATTATCAAGGGTGTGATAGGAGAACGTGAAGTTGGAGGGTAAACTGAAGAGCCGATAGTTGACCACGCAGAACGGGGATTTCCCGTCGTGATTCCTGTGAGATAAAGGCTTTCTTTAAAAATTATTAGGTTGGCAAGAAAGTTTGTAGAAAATGTTTGGACGGTGATGTCTCAAAAACCAAGCCATCCATTTTTCCCAAATCTTTTTTGATAAACTTGGCTATATTTCAAAAAGCTAAAAATTAGAGTGGGCTTAAGGTAAAAAATAATAGATTTCCTCAGCTGAAATGAATTGATCACTTTTTGAGTGAACAGCTTTTAGACGAGTTTTTAATGGGTTTTAATGGATAGGTAATCGATCCCAGTCAAAACCTAAAAGCAAGTACTTAAAACAGCAAAAATTTGCAATTAAAGCAAGTTTTATCTAATAGAGAAAAGTGAGCTGAAGTTAAGCAGGAGAATTATACTTTTTCATAGATCTCTAAAGTTTTTGGAGAAAGCTGCGCTTATTTTTTTACGAGTAACTTCTTGGAGTCGACTTGATTCCTCAAAAACCTTTTTTGAGGGCTATATTTCCAAAAGTTTTTTGAGAAAAAAACCCAGAGTGGGCTTGAGGTAAAAATAAGAGATTTCTTCAGCTGAAGTGACTGATCACTTTTTGAGTGACCAGCCTTTAGACAAATTTTTAATGGGTTAATGGATAGGTAATCAATCCCATTTACAACCTAAAATCAAGTACTTAAAACAGGGAAAATTTGCGATTAAGGCAAATTTTATCTAAAGCTTTCACTTTTCTGAATGGTCTATTTTAGGAGACACAGAGTGCCAAGAAGATGACACCAAAAAATTATTTTTTGAAATAAAGCTTTTCTGTCAAAAATTTTTGGCCAAAAATAGAGATTATAGAGCGCATTGCTCATTTATGCTAGCTGTACCTCATAAGGAATCGTTTTTCTGGTGCAAAAAGTGAGCTGAAGTTAAGCAGGAAAATTATACTTTTTCATAGATCTCTAAAGTTTTTGGAGAAAGCTGCGCTTATTTTTTTACGAGTAACTTCTTGGAGTCGACTTGTAAGTAGTATAACAAAGTGTTCTTGAATTCAATCGGTGAATTTGTTTTTAACAGAATTCCAGTTCAAATCGTTCCAAAGACTTTTCTTTGCCAACCCAATAATTATTACTATTATTTATTGTCAGCTAAGTTGTAGACTAGTCATGGGCAAATTCCAGCCCGAGCCTAATTTCACCTTCGTTTTCTTGGCCGATTCTTGGCCGATTGCGCTGAATTTGTCTAGATAGAAATCTCGACATTTTCAGCTTGTAGACAAAATTTCAGAGCAATCGGCCAAGAAAGCGAAGGTGGAATTTAGGTTTCGCTTCGAATTTTCCCATGTCTAGTATAGACGAGTGCTAGTTGCACTGAAACAACCTCATAACTGTCTCGTTCCTGCTCGTCCAATCCGCGTTGTTGACATAGAGTTGAAACTCGTGCATACAACCATCTCGGGACAGAATGACGAGCTCAGAGACGTACATGGTGATTGTACAGAGATTACAGCCAACAGACGTCACCTTACATGCCTGAAAGTTCAAAAGAGTTAAGCTCATTTGCCCGAAAGAGTCAAGCTCATTCGGCCAAAAGAAAAAAAGAACACAAGTGTCATGGCCTTCCAGCTAACTTTTACTTCAAGATAACTTTTGTCCGAACCTTGAAAGCTCTCCAATTATCGCCGGGAAAAATTTCCCGTCTCGACACCGAGGTGATCGGGGCCGTTCGTGAGAGCGTGATTGGACAGAATCCAGACGAAATCAAGGGCAAAAGCAATAGTTTTACATAAACGAGCAGCATTTGCTGTCCCAGATGATTTTTTTTTCTTTCGAAGTACTGAAAAACTAAGAAACGTATGAGGCGTCACTTTCGGCTCTCAAGCAAAAAAGGTCGGCTTACGTTGGTAATTCCCGGTCTTTTCCTGGACAAGGGGGTTTTCAGAAAAGCATTCAAAGCTTTTTCGTATAAGTTTTGACAAACAAAAAATGTTTTATCAAAATTGGGGACTGTTTTATTGAAAAAAATATAGCATGCCTTAAAGATTAGAATTGTTTTTTAAAGTTATTTGAGGCCTTGCCAAAAACAACTCTTCAACAATTAACTTTTTAGCACCGCCGCTGTACTCTCTGACACTATGTGTGCTTATAATTTGATTAAGCTGAGTCACAAAGTCACAAAGGGGGGGGGGGACACATTCGATTTTCGATTATATGGGGCATTCAATCATAAGAATCTCAAAAATCAACTTGGGTTTAGATGTTTTTGTGTTAATTTTTGAAATACTGATGCTTTACACAGCCATATCCGTCGTAAGCGGCCTATTTGGCAAGACTTGCAAGTTTTGCTAGTGAGCCACCTGCAAGTAAGGTCCAAGTGGACGCTTGTGAAACCCACTTGCCACTTGCGCACTTGCAAGTGGACGTTGGTGAAAGTCACTTTTCGCAAAAACTTGCGCACTTGCAAGTGGACGTTGGTGAAAGTCACTTTTCGTAAAAACTTGCGCACTTGACCCCCACTTGCAAGTTTTGGCCAAAAAAACTTGCAAGTGGGGACGTTGGTGAAACGGGGCCGAGGACAAATACATATGCAATCTTGCCATTTCAAATCGAAAGAACTAAAAAAACTTGTTTGAATAAAATGTGTTTTTGCAGCTGTGTTTTTGGAAAATTTCAAGCTACACCAAGCGACACAAAAGAGCCAAAAAACTAAACTAAAATTGTTTGGCCAAGCTTTGTTTTCATGTTCCCTCTCTGATAATGGAATATGCAATCGAAACACCGTTCCAATCGACGATTTCATGCTTCCAATTTTTCCAACTTCCAGCTTCCAACTTCCAGTTTGAGAAAATTCAAAGTCATCAAAGGGATCGCCGTCAAGTGCTCTGCGATTTCTGCAGCTAGTACATGAAAGTTTGAAACATCTAGTTTGAAATCAAAACAGGAAATCATTTCGTTAGCTTTGTAATTTCTAAGATGATCCGGTAGGATCAATCGGCCATCGTCTTGATTTTTGAAAAAATTGGGCAGGACAAGAAAGTAGTGGTAGGCTTTTGGGGGCCTCGCTGAAAGGAGCATCGACCCGGAGCCGGAGAATGAATTTGGATTTGAGTTTTCGATGACCATTGTTGAGAGTTCGACAAATTGTTGTGCACAGTTCAACTGATATCTATAAAGTTTCCTAGTGCATTTCGTCGCTTGATTGAGGCGGTTGACTGTCTTGGCCCTAAATGATTCAATGCATCAGTTTTACATTAGTTTGACAAGCAAGTCTTTTCGCCCTTTTTCATAATTCCTTTTAAAAACAAAAAATGCACCAATTGACCCATGATGTTTTCATTAGAAAGGCCAATTATTTTTTTTCTGCAAAATAACATTAAAGCGGATTCAAAATGTCTTATGAGGGAATTTTTTTTGGGGGCAAGAAGTCGGCTAGTCATAAAGGGTGACGACTCCGAGATGCAATTCAGGCACCTTGGCCAGGAAATCCTATATTGGTGTCAATAGATAGAAGATAGAGCGCAAAAAGTTAGGTCAATAGCCAAATTTTCAGAGAAATCGATTCAGCCAATTTCTTCGTAGAGGTTTTTATCGATTTTTACGAAAAACACCTTTTCGCATTTAGATTTGCTTTTTTATCAACCGACAGGTTGGTGTCTCGATTTTGGAAAAGTTTCCCACAGCGACGTCAACCCAGAAATCATCTTGATCGAAAGTGTTTCTCTTCTCGTATTGAGAACCATCCTGAAAAGATTTGCGAATTCAGGGAAAACATGTAGTACCTTCGATCGAATGGCTCCCAAAATATCAGTCCCAGGCGGTAAATGTCGTTTTTGTGGGAAACCCATCTGAGATGAAACAGGCACATTCTTTTCTATCATTTTTTCTATCGTTTTTCTGGGGTAATTTTATGCGTAGATTTCAAAAAACTACATCTCAGCTCCGGGTTTTGAGTTTTTTTTGAACTTTTCAAATAATAATACTTTGAACAAGTCAAAATAGTCACTCAAAATAATTTTTTGAAATTATGTACTTTTAAGGGGTTTCGACCGTTTTACCCCAGTCAGATGAAGACTTCAACCAATGGCTCCAAGATGTCGGACTTCTTCACCGCAAAAGAACGTTGCCATTGATTCAGACGTCCATTCACAATCCACTCTGACCTTTGGCGTGCCAACGTCTCCTTGCTACCTCAAATCTATCGTCATCTCACAGTCAATCATCAAAGCAATTTCTTAAATCCAGTGACCCGATCGCACACACAGAACGCCACGAATTAGTGGTATCGCTTCAAAAAGATGATCGAAGCCAAACACGGCATCAAGACCCGCAGCAATGGCCGGTACCTGGACAAGTTCATGTGGCAACAACAGTTTGGTGACAACCCATGGTTCCACTTCTGATCGCAAGTGCAACAACTTTACCCGTGCCAGTGAGCTAAAATAACCCCCAACCCAACGACCCTCTTTAGAGTCACAAAAATACACATATAGAAACACGATATTAACTTAAACATACATAATTAAAGCAACACTATTTGTAGGCTTATTCTTGATTAACTAAAGTCTAAAAATAGTGTTTTACTGGTCACCCTGTAGGCTCTTCTCTTACCAAAGAACAACAAAATGTAAGTAGCTTACTTTGCTGGTTTAATATCCCGATGAACGATCTTCTTTTTTCTTTTTTTTTTCCCCAAGTTCCTTTTTCTTGCTGAAAAGTGTTCCCAGTTCTCATTTTCGGAAAAACTCATTTCCGGAAAAGCTCATTTTCGCGCAAAATTGTTTTGTTTTTATGCTTTTTGAGTAGTTTCAAAGTTCCCCCGAATAACTCTCTCAATTTTCTCAATTTCCATTCTCTCAATTTTCTCAATTTCAATTCTCTCAATTTTTTTCAACAAAACTCTTTAGATTTTTTAATAATGATCGATCCTTTCATTTTTTCAGATCATATCAAATATATAGATATACAGGGTGTGGCAAAAGTTCTGACACTTTTTTTCAAACGGCTGTATAAAATTTCAAAAAACAGTATTTGGCTCACTTTTTGTTTTTTTGCATTTGTTAACCTGTTTTTCCTGATTTTTAACAAGAAACAACGCTTTTGTTTAGGTTCGCTTTCAATATGGATGCTAAAAAGAGGCGCACTGTGATACTTGAGTTGCACAAAGCCGGAAAGATACCGATGGAGATTGTTTGAGTCACCGGATATCCAAAAAAAAAGTCTGTCTATCGAGCCATTGAACGATTCAAGAAGCGGGACAACGATCAGGACCGTCCAAGAAGCGGCCGACCAACCACAGTCACCTCCAGAGAACACAAACAAAGTCAGATGCCGAATCCGTCGAAATCCCACTTGTTCAATGAGAAAGATGGCCATAAGTCTCGGAATCAGCGAAAGAAGCGTTTGAAGGATTGTTCATAAGAAACTTGGAATGTTCAGCTACAAATTTGCTCGGGCTCTTTTCCTGAACGACGCCATGTAGCAAAAGAGGATGGCTAAAGCGAAGAAGATCTTGCACCTGGTCGCTGCTGGTCGTTTGGACAAGGTTGTGTTCACAAATGAGAAGATCTTCACCGTTCAAGCTATCCACAATCGTCAAAACCATCGCCAACTTCTCAAGCGAGGTCTGAAAGACACTTTTGCAGCCAAATTGATGGTCCGTCAACATTTTCCGAAGTCCGTTATGGTGTTGGCCAGCATCTGTGCCACAGGAAAGACGCCTCTTGTGTTCATCGATCGAAATGTGAAAATCAACGCTACGGTCTACCAGCAAAAGGTGTTAAAGGATGTCTTAGAGCCCTGGGCAGTGAATCATTTCGGACAAACTGGATTTACCCTTCAGCAGGACTGGGCGCCGGCCCATGGAGCTCGCTCGACTCTCGCTCTCTGCAATCAGCTGTTTCCGGGCTACTCGGGTAAGGACATTTGGCCGTCGAATAGCCCCGATTTGAACCCCCTGGACTTCTCTGTTTGGTAGACCTTGGAAGACAAGATCTCTGGCAAGAGATTTCACACCGTGGATTCTTTGAAAGCCGCTTTGAAGAGGGCCTGGGCCGAAATCACTGTTCAGCAATGCGCGACCATCGTCGGCAACTTCCGCAAGCGATTGAAGAAGTGCATCGAGGCCAAGGGTGGAAATTTTGAAGATTTTTTTATAAATTTTTGTTAGTTTTGTCTTCAATAAACAATTTGTTATCGTTTTTTGATTAATATTGCCAAAGTTTGCAACTTTTATTTCTCTTAGAAAAAGTGTCAGAACTTTTGCCGCACCCTGTAGTAGATCATATCAAAATTCATCACCAAAAAATGAAAGGAGATCGGGCGCGTTTTTCTCATTATTGGATATTGAAAGCGAGTCTGTAGAAAATTTACGGCCATTAACAAAGCTCCTCATCAGATTTTTTAGTAGCCAATGGAAGAGGACAAGAAGAAAATTGCCAGTGAGATCAATTTGAGTGGATTTCAATATTTGAACGACAAGAGTACGGTGGTTAGGTAAGGCACTTAATTATAAAGCTTTTCCAACTAGAAACTTCTGAATCTCGATAAACTCTGAGCTAAATACACGAAACTCAAAATGTTAGGGTGTAAAATTTGAGCAACAAATCTGCTTCTTACAATATTGGTCACATTTTGCAGGGTCTTCTGGTTCTCAGTAATTCTCGTTTTCCTGGCGCTGACCGTGTACCAAATAACGACTCAGGTTTATGTTTTCTTAAAGCTGCATATTATTCCACTGTTGAAAATGCCAAGTTTGTATGAAATGATAAACAATCTCAGGTCAGCAGATATGCTTCGAGTCCCGTTTCAACAAATGTCGAGGTCGAATACCCGGAGCAAATAATTTTCCCGGTGATCGCCCTATGCAACAATAACCAGTTCAGGTGGGTGAACGGCTTATTTTTGACGACATTTGTACCCTACTTAAATGTTCCAATGTAACTTTTAATCACTTAATCAATCTTTAAGTATTAGGTTGGCCAGAAAGTCTTTACACAGATTTGAACTGGAATTTCTTAAAACGAATCCACCATTCAAAAGAAACCCGCATTCCCGCAGTTTGAGTATTGGCAACTTTCCAACCCTAAATTCTAAAATACACCAAAGCTACCATAGTCGAGACGGCGTCTCCCTTTTCTCCCTATAAAAGGAAGTCCCATCCCTGCAAAAATTCATTCTTTTGAAGAATCGTTGTCCTGCTCGGTGCTTGCGCCGTATCTTATGCGCATATACCGTAAATACTTTAATAGTACCCCACCCCTCTCGTACAGTCGCGTAATCGCAAAAGTATTTCATTATTTCATTTTTTGCAAAGCGCTCGTACTTTCAAAAAATGCGTCTTTGGTATCAAAAAATAGCCCTGAATTTCAGCTATTTTTTTGATACCTAAGCGCGCATTGTAGCATAAACCAGTTTCGAGAAAAACTCGTTCAAAGCTAGACTACGCAACACTCCGCACCGTCATTATGGGGTTGGGCTACTATTACAGTATTTACGGTATGTTCCCCTCATTCTATTCTCTTGTGAATTTTGTTTAAAATAGGTGATTCTGAAAAGTGAAAGCTTTAGATAAAATTTGTCTTAATCCCAAAATTTTCCTGTTCTAAGTACTTGATTTTAGGTTTTGAATGGGATCCATTACCTTCCATTAAAACTCATGAAAAAACTCGTCTAAAAGCTGCTCACTCAAGAAGTGACCAATTCATTTCAGCTGAAGAAATCTCTTATTTTTACCTCAAGCCCACTCTGGGTTTTTTTCTCAAAAACTTTTGGAAATATAGCCAAGTTTATCAAAAAAGGTTTTTGAGGAATCAAGTCGACTCCAAGAAGTTACTCGTAAAAAATAAGCGCAGCTTTCTCCTAAAACTTTAGAGATCTATGAAAAAGTATAATTTTCCTTCAGCTCACTTTTCCCTATAAAAGAAAGAACTGATGGCTTGGTTTTTGAGAAATCATTGTTTCTTTTCAAACTTTTTTTTTACAACCTTTCTTGCCAACCTAATAGTTTATCTGTATTCAGGCAAAGCAACTTGCTCGGTTACAAGTTGAAGTACGATGACGAGATCTCCTTTTTTGAGCAAGTTTGAAAGCTTTTCATTCCAGGCTTTACAAACATATTCATGATAAAAACCCGAGTTGTCCAAAATTGGGATGTCTAGGTGATCGACTCGATCGGAAATGCCTCAGCGGTAGAGTTTTTGCGTAATTCAACTCACGACATCAGAACGATGCTCGCTGGGTGAGTGGGTTTAGGTTTAATCCAGCCGAGTTCTGTGAGTAGTTCAAGTGGTTTCAAATGTATTCACAGGTATGCAAGCTTAAGCCCAAAATTAGCATTATTTTAGGTGCACCTTGCCAAACGGTACACGATGTGGACCCGAAATGTGGACCCAATTCTGGACCCTCAACGGGATCTGCTGGGCGCTCAATCTTGATCACGTCACGCCAATTGTGGTCACTAGTTCAGGTAAAATTTTCTTTACTTTCTTGTTTCTCTCTCTTTCTCTCTGACAAGTATGGTCTCTGATAGCTCACAATCAGTGGCTAGAACTAGAAATTTATAGAAAAATAGGCTAGAAATACAGTCGAACCTCTCTATAACGAACCTCGATATAACGTAAACCTCTCTATAACGTAAGGCGTGCCCGGTCCCGGCCGACTTTAAGCTATATAAAACGGCACTCTATATAACGTAAACCTCTATATAACGTAAGCTATAGCCGTCCCGTGAGTTACGTTATAGAGAGGTTCGACTGTATAACGAAAACATCTGTCGGTCCTTTTTTCCCGTTGATAATTTAAGGTTTTTCGTGTTTTTATCAGCATCAATCCTTCGATTTTGACTATTTTGACTATCCATCGATGCCGAATAAAATTGCGCGTCGAATGATATCACCATTAACTCAAAATGTAATATCCAAACAAAGTTATGAGGCAAAAGGTTAAGTCCCGCTCATAATGGATGGGGTTTAGGTTTTTAGCTCATAACTTTGCGTGGATATTACATTTTGAGTTAATGTTGGTATCATTCGACGCGCAATTTTATTCGGCATCGATGGATAGTCAAAATAGTCGAAATCGAAGGATCGATGCTGATAAAAACACGAAAAACCTTAAATTATCAACGGGAAAAAAGGACCGACAGATGTTTTCGTAACAAGTTCAGGTAAGGATCACGGTCTCCGGCTGGTGCTCAACGTGGAAAGTTACGAGCGAGCGGACACGTGTGGACGCGTGTTGGACAGTCAACTCGAAACGGGAATCAGAGTTCGGAATTTTCTATTGATATCTAATATCTTAGCTCTTTATTTTGCTAGATGCAATTCATTGAAAAGTCTCCGGTTTAGGTTCTAATCTACAATCAGACCGAGCTCCCAATCACCACCTCTAAGGGAGTGAGTGTCTCTCCGGGAATGACCGTCAACATACCGTTCAGGATTCAAAATGTGAATGTTCTGTATTGGTCCTGTTATGACAAATTTGATGTAGTTCTGTTTGTTGAGCTCTCCTGGCTTGAATTACGTATACTTTATGCTGAATATTATTTACTATTTATCTAAAGCGGGCTAGACAATGAATCACAAAGCAAAAAATCAAATAATGTTTGCGAACTTGATATAAACTTGGGTGCCATAACTTTAGTACTTACTCGACTTTCCACTATGAGAGGAGTGAGCTTGTACAATACTTGATCACTTCGATAAATGGTGAACAAACTTTGGAGAACTTTTTGGTGAAATTGTGTCGAAAATCTTTTTTTTAGAGACATCAAAATGCTAACTTAAATAGGCTTGAGCTACGGTATGCTCCAATTTTGTGTGACTTTCAGTTAAATGAGTACAAGTTAAAACTTGTACTTAAATCGGCTTTCTTATAGAAAGTGCCGAAATATTCGGCATACCAGTAGTAACCGTAGCATGGGAAGATTTTTACTTTTTAAAGTACTTCTTTAAAGTACTTAAAGTACGTATTTAGCGCAAGAAACTTCCGACTCCTAGTTGTCAAATGGAATCTGCAGAATCGATTGCGGCCGCTGGAAATGCTTCTTTATCGGATAACAAAAAGTAAAATTTTTAAAAGTTAATTATTTGAATGTGAAATTTTCACACCCTTGACATTGTAGAGCATGTATGGGTCAATTGATACACGAAATGTTTGAGAGACAATGCAACTGCTCGATCCGGCAGCTGTTCACCAATGAACCAAGTAGGTTTCAAGTTTTGAACTCAATTCAAAAACACTAGAATATTAAAGAATTGTCTTTTCAGATTATTAACGAATAATCTTTTTGTTAAAAGATTAAAGAATGTTCTTTTAAGAGTTGAAAAACGAGTGTGATATCGAGATGTACTTCAGTTGTGTGCTGCCTTATCAAAAAAGGTCAGCAACATTTTGAATCGATTTTCGAATTTGACCAAACGAGGCTAGGGCTTCCTACGCCCGTTTTTAATCTACAGCGTGCGCCGAAAGTTCTGCGACCTTTTATGCAGCTCGATGATCATTATCTGTTCAGTGTCGATCTATTGTAATTGTAATTTAAAATACAAAACGACAGGATGTATAGGTCATACAATAAAGGTAGCAGAACTTTTGGCGCGCCCTGTACAATGCATTTTAGATTACAAGCTAATCTGAAGACCGAAATCGGCAAACAGTGCTTGCCAATGTGTGAGACGATGGAATATCTACCACAACAAGTAATAGGTTTTTTGTGAATGTCCAGACATTATAAACGCTTAAGTATTGTTTTTGTTTAGTTGTTGTTTGGTATAAATTTTGAAAGCATTCACCCAATCCTTCCAGGAGGTCAGCACAATCCCGAAGAGGCTCTTTCCAACCTTCTCCGAGAAAAGGCTGCTGACAAGAGAAGTAATGTTTTTAAATTTCAAAAAAGAGAAATACAATCTTATTACTTTATTCACAGGCTTGTATGCCTAAATCGTATCTATTTATCGTTTAAAATTCTCAAATCAAGAGGGTCGAGAAGCATTTGGTTGGAGTTGACTCGAAGGGAACTCGCTTCTTCGAGAATGTCACTCTCTCTTGTCAATCTTCAGCCTACATCACAGAAGAGTTTGTGAGATTTAGCCTGCCGGCTACGGCCACTAACTCAATTCGTAGGCAAACGCAACACTGAAGAAAGTTCGCCTCTTGTTCCAGGAGCTGATTGACTCAAAAATGATGATTTATTTATTCAGTGACTTCCTTGCTCAAACATTAGAGTAAGAAAAAAAGAAAAGCAAAAAGCTAATACCGACAGTTTGGCCGTACATGGATGGCCAGTCGAGGAGGAGGACGGCTTCGCCAGATCAAACTCGATCGTCGACATGCTTCTCTTTGAAAGGGAGGAATGCCTCGAGGTCTTGTGGACGCTCAAAATGGTGCTTTATCCTTTCAATTTGTTCAAAGTGATTGTATTGAAAAATATTTTTAGGAAAACGCAACGCTTACCAACTTATCAATGATCGATTTTTGGGTAAAGAGGAGACCGTGGGACGTGGTGAATTGGGTGTTGTTACGGGATTTCGATCTTAAACAACAAGTTGAGAAGGTTGTGTAGAAGACCCTTTTTATTATTCTATTCAAAGAGATTCTTGCCTGAGATTGCTATCGTTAACTTTTTCCCAAAAAGGTATACGATCACAATGCGTTTAATGAGATAACAATTGCTTTTTGGCAAAAGAGCAAAAGTTTAGCCGAGGGCGGGATTGAACTCGGATAGAAGAAATTTGTGCTGCAAGTGCATTAACCATTAGCTCACGAGCTTTTCAGATGATCTTGGGAGAGCTCTCACTAGACGAACTCGCTAAGTACTATCATGACAACAACTTTTTCTCCTATTTTCATTCGGACTTTCAGAGGGTTTGTGATTTAAATTATGAATGTTAGAAATTGGGATTCAAATTGAAGCCAATTGATTGTGTTTTCAGTATTGGACCGACCCGATTCTGGAATTTCTCTGGAAGGCCGAATTGACGTTGCAAAGAGAGAACAAACAGCTCCTTCACATGCTTCGGGTAATAGAATTTTAGTTTATTCTTCTGAGGGTCTAGCTCAGCGAGAATGAAAATTGAAATTTTTGTCGGTAATTTTTGGGTATGTCTCCTGGAGCCAAGGCCACTTTCTAACTGATTGGTGCTTCCAGAACCTCTACATGACCTTACAAAGTTGAGAATCGCGGTACACCTGGCGAAAAACCCAGTTAAGATTTTTGAGAAAAAACATACAAAGATTCCAGAAGCACGAATTAGTTAGAAAATGGGGTTGGCTACAGAAGACATACTCAAAAATCACCTCCAAAAATTTCATGCAGATTCATTGAGTTCTCGCTGAGCCAGACCCTCAGAAGTGAGTCGCTATAATTGGCGATCATCCTCTAGTTAGACTAAAGTTTGAAGTATAGAACGAAATAAGCTACTTCTCATTCCCTTACAGGAATACAGAGAGCCAGAACAAGAAGGTGGAGATGTGTTAGAAGTTGTGGATCCACCTTTCTTCAATTTTAGATACAAACTCAAAAACATGCTTGCAAAAACAAAACTCTAAACTTTGGTATTGATATGTGTTCACTAAACTTGATTGTAGAAACCTTTTGCCGATTTCAACATAACAAATGCCGAATACTGCATCACGAAGAAACTACCCGTATTTATAGCGGAGGAACTTGTGACTTTTCGTAACGCGACACAAAAGCTCGCTGTGAGTACTTTTATTAGCAGCAAACATTCTTATTATCAGCTATAAAGTTTAAGTTGAAGTTTGTTATACAGTGCGTTTCATATTCTTACAGCCACCCCCTAAAACCAGTGTTTCTCGAGAACCATGATAGTTATCGACTTAATTCCTTTTGCAATCGAAAGAGCACACCTTAAAACCCCAAAGATACTTATTTTCGTATCACTGTAACTTTCCATAACAATTATTTTTCAATAACATGGTTTCTCGGCCGTTTCAAATTATTACAGCCACTTTAAATAACTATTTATTTTTATGTTAACATCAAAAAAAACAAGAAGGAAAACAATCGAAACATTCATTTAGTAATCAGTAATTGCCCCAGAACGTTGTACGATCTGAAAAATGCGCGCTTTCATACTATAGCACAGTTTTCGAAGAACGGTGACGTCAAGGCACTTCCAAACGATCCGAATGGCAACTTTGAGTTCTGCAACGGTCTTAAACTGTTGATTATTTCTGTAAACATCTCGGACGAGCATACCCCATAAGTTCTCAATCGGATTCAGGTCTGGGGAGCATGCTGGTCAGTCAAGAATGTCAACTCCTTCGTCTGATAACCAATCTTTTGTGTGCATCGAGCGATGAATTAAAGCATTATCATGCTGGAACGTGTATTTGACGGCTGGGTTTTGCTGCAGAAAAGGCAAGAGATGGTCTTTGAGCACGTCTGTATAGTCAGAGCTTTTCATCTTGTTCGAAATGAACTTCAAAGCGACTCTCCCGTCAGCACAAAAGCCGCCCAACACATCGCGTTACCTCCACCGTAGTTTCGGGTCCCAAAAATCATCGGATCCTTGCGCAAATCCCTCCAATAGTATGAAACACCATCCGGCCCATCGAGATTCCATTTCTTTTCATCCGAGAAGATTACCTAAAAGATAAATTGATATAATTCAAAATCTCTACAACGTTGTTCCAGTCCTGGTTCATATAATCTCTGGCGAAGCGAAGGCCGCTTTGTGTTCGGGCTTCAAAGCTGGGGCGTGATTGAGGTCTTCGCGATCGATATGCAGATTTTCTTTGACACCACGCCAGATAGTCACCTTCGAAGCATTGATTTTCAGCTCACTTTTGACCTGGTTGATGGATTTGCCGTGAATGTTGTTGACAATGTGACGCTTAGCTCGAGGTTTTGGTTTTGGTCCGGTTTTCATCTTTGTTTTTGCTGTTGCGGCTCTGTTTTTCACGTAGAATTGAATTGCTTGTCTGGAGCGCTTCAGATCTTTTGTCATAGCATTAATAGAGTTTTCCTTTCCTCCAAGAGTCATGCCATCCAAGAGTCATGCCATCCAAGAGTCGTGCCATGCCTCCCATCTATTTGGCCTTTTTCGTAATCGAAAAGCAGTTTTCCGTGTCCCATTCTCGAGCTGTTGCGTCTAAAAAAGAAATTAGTGAGATTAAGCAAAAAAAATGGAAACTTAGAAGAAAAAAAAGTTAAAGAAATAATAACATTACAAAGTGGCTGTAATAATTTGAAACGGTCGAGAAACCATGTTATTGAAAAATAATTGTTATGGAAAGTTACAGTGATAGGAAAATAAGTACCTTTCGGTTTTAAGGTGTACTCTTTCCATTGCAAAAGGAATTAAGTCGATAACTATCATGGTTCTCGAGAACACTGGTTTTAGGGGGTGACTGTAAGAATCTGAAACGCACTGTATCACAAAATGGTCTCTCTCTTTTCTGATCATAGCAATTTTAGCGTTCTTTTGACGCTGCTTTCGAGGATTACTTAGCAGTATACTACAAGAAAACCCAGATCGATGAAGATTTCGAAAAGTGAGTTGGCAAAGCAAAAATTCAATAGTACATTTATGATAATGAATTTGGATTGAGAGCTAATTTCACGAAAATTTACAAGATTGACTCTCATAGTGGATCCTTTCAGCTAGGACTTCCCTTTTTAAGACCGCCATTCAGGCCATCCACGGTCGCGACATTTATTCGAGTTTATATTCATACTTTATTCAAGACAGGAAATAAAGTGTAGTCAATAAGGCAAAATGATAAGCAGAGAACAAAAAATTGAAAGCCGTAGGATGATATGGGAATACTGTGGATGAAAAAAAATTCGCAATGACCCGAATACATCAACTTTCAATAAATGTGAATTTCAACAGTCTTAAAATGTAAATAGGATGGTGAACGGAAAGACTCAATTTAGTTTACAAGTTTGATCAAATGCAATGCTCTCTTAAAAGTGCTTAAATTTGGAGTATCTCTAATGTGGGGTGGAAGAGCATTTCAACTATACAACACGATAACAACACGATTAGAGAAGAAATTTCTAGTGGATTTACACAAAACTAAATCTTTATGCAGAAGAAAAGGCCCTGACCTTGCTCCAGATCGTTTTTGAGAGGGAGAAAATTCATAAACGACCGACTACCTTTGACAATTTTAAAACATTTTACTAGATCAATAATAAGACGGTGGTCTTGAAAAGATTAAAGATTACAAATTTTTCATCTATGCTTATGCCTAAGAGAGGAGTATTTAGTAGAGCTATACCTTAAAAAGAGCTATATGAGTAAAATATTTTTGGATTTTCTCGATTTTAGCGATGAGAAAGGAAGAGCTAGGGAACCCAATAAGAGAAGCGCATTCAAGAATAGGACAGAGAAAATCTCGCCCTTGTCATTTTCAGAGAAAATCTCGCCCTTGTCATTTTCAGAGAAAATCTCGCCCTTGTCATTTTCAGAGAAAATCTCGCCCTTGTCAACATTTACCTCCAATCGAACGCAATCGAGACGTGGACTCAGCAAGAGGAATACACTTTTTGGACTCTAGCATGTAAGTTGGCTTGTAAGTAAATGAATGTTTGTTAACACAAGTGTTTTTCGATAAACTGGACAAGCGAATGAGAGCTGTTTTGCGAAGCTGCTATGATCAAAACATGACCCCTAACTTAAACTTAACTTAAAACATGACCGCAAAATTTTATGTAGATTCCGAATCTGCAATCAGATTTTGAAAGTCTTCCCTCTCCAATAAGAAATGGTCATTGTTAGTTATCACTGTTGTATGAGAGGCCTTTAGTTGTTCACCCAGAACCCTGGTTGGTTGTTTGTTGTCGATCCGCAGAAGTTCAGTTAAAGCCGTTTCAATGAAGTCACTCGCGCTCCCACCCCTCGCCTCTTACTCTAAGGAAAAGTCACCTTTCTCTAGGGAAAAGTCACCAAGAAATTGGTTGAATCGATTTCTCTGAAAATTTGGCTGTTTACCTAACTTTTTACGCTCTATCTTTTTCTATTGACACGAAGATAGGTTTTCGTGAATCACGTGATCGAGTCGTCACGATTTTCGACTACCCGACTTCGCGCCTCTGAAAAAACTCAAAAACAAACATTTTCATAATAATTCAACGTTCTTTTATTGAAAAAGAGTCAACCTTTCTACAGGAACAAACTGTATGATGCATTAATCTTTTCTAAACGGAAATATACAAAAATGCGAAAAGACTTATTGGTCAGCCCATAGTTAAAAGTTTGAGTACAAATCAAGACGCTGGCAAACGAACCTTTATGATAAGTAAGATATAAGTCGACACCATATTGGGCATTTGGTTAAAAAGGTTGCTTGGATTCTATTCAAAGCGCATTTTCAGGTGACATCGGTGGCGCTCTTGGACTGTTCCTCGGTGCTTCGGTGGTTACGATCACCGAGTTCGGATACATCATCTTTCAGCAGTATTGGCTAGTTGATAGACAAAAGAAACGGTTAAAATTACAATATTCATTTGAATAACAGATTTTCTCCTTAAACAGTCAAAATTCGATGCCAATTTTAGGGTGGTGTCGTAGTGATAAACGTTCGGGTTCTTTTTCAGGTCACAGCCCGAATCACTGTCGCTCAAATGAAAGTTGAAGGCTTCTATAGAAAAGAAAAGGCTGTAGAAATTTATGCATTCACTTTTTTATTTTGTTTCATTTTGTTTTTCCGATTTTTTTTTCCATTAAATGAGTTCTAGAAACCAAATTTTGATTCCACTATAGAGTTCTATTAGATCTCTAATAAAACTCTATAGATCTCTAATAAAACTCTATAGATCTTTAATAAATTTTTGATTCCACTATAGATCTCTAATAGAACTCTATAGTGGAATCAAAATTTGTCGTCGAGAGTTTGTCGAGAGTTTAGTGTAGCATAATCATTTTATTGATATCTTTCAATCAAATCAAATCCTTTGAAATTCCTTCTATTAGAAAGATAATGACAAACTCGAGACAAAAAGTGGTGGTTTGCATAATTCTTCAAAAAATGCACTTTTTGTTTAAATTTCTCGTTCAACTGTTATCGATAAGTCTCGGTTGATAAATAATGTTTGAAACGTATTGCAGAAGAAAGCGTTTGCTCGATCCTTGGCATTTCTCGGAAATGAAAAGCTGCCAAGAGCAATTGCCACGCCAAGCAACTCCTGACTGCCAACTTTGAGGTTCTAGAAAAAAAGGCAGGAAATCTTTTTTCGTCAAACCTAAGAATCCAGCGCAGAAAATATTTAAATTTTCTATCAAAACAAAGCGTGAGATGATTGCACATCGGAGCGCTGAGTTACACTTAAAATACCGAGTGCGGGTAATTATTGAACACCCTGTATTCTTATTTGTATTTTTCTTTACTGTTTTGATAAATGTTTGACTATTTACTTGTCTCATTTTGCGCGATTCCTCACCGAAGCTAATAAAAAGCACTTGTGTAAGGTGTACCGACTTACAACCACAGGCATACAGTGGTCTATAAAAGCAATGCCCCATTGCCATCTGAAAGTTGATTTCGTAAGAAAACCTTGCAAAAATGACATTTCAGAAATAGGGTAGAAACTTTTTGCTTACCCAAGAGACTCTACTTTTCAAGAATATAAGATTTATCTGTATAGATTGCATAAAAGTTAAAGTATAAAACAAAAAAGAAGTCACTTCAAAATTAGCTTCACAAAAGTAATGCCCCATTTGCAAAGAATTAACAAAAATTTTTGAATCAATACTTGGTTGGTCCTCCTTTTGTTTTTATCATTGAGTCGATCCGGCATGGAATCCACGAGATTTTTCAAAAGATTTTGGGGTATGCTGGCCAGAGACGCTAAATGTGAGCCCATAAGGCGGCCTTCGAATCGAATTTCTTTCGCTTGGGCCGCGACTTCACAAATGACCAGAGATGGTCGATAGCGTTCATATTCGGTGAGTAGATTAATTTGACTAGACTTGCCGCAAACCAGCCCGGAAGTTGTATTCGTGTATCATTTCGAAGAGTCACCACTCTTCCATCGTACTCCTTGATCACCCTATGGATAAAGAAATGTTTTCAAAGTTTATCCACGCCGCCATGATCGACTGGCTAAGAGCCCTGTATCTTAGTTGCGAAATCAAGGGTTCAATCCCGCTAGATTATTGGTTCTTTTTTTCCATATTGGTTCTATTATTGGTTGATTATTGGTTTTATATGGGTTTTTTCTTCCCTACATTTAGGGCTTAGGAGTGCTAGGGGTTTTGTATTGTTTGTAAAACGTTTATTCGTGTGAATAAACGTATTTTTAAAGTGGTTTCTTGAAAACTTTTCCTATTCAGTTGCTCCAAATCCCGCCGGGTCTACAACGCCGGGTCTACAACGACCTCGTTGATCTTTTCGCCGTTGTTCAAAAGGCGATCTCAATTGAAGTAAGATTTCCTACCTAGTCGCTAAGAATTGCACATAAAAGAAAGCAGTTCAATAAATTTTGTGCTTCTTTTGAATTTAATGCACAATATTCGATAGCCCAAGTCTAACAATAATTGAACTTTGACGCACAGCTCGCAAAGATTACTCATAATCAAAGTTCCCAGAAGTCATCTATTGGGTTGTCCAGTTATGAATGCGCGTTTTTTACTATTTCTCAAGATACCGAAATCAAGAAAAAGATATATATGAGCATTATTCGAAAGCTGAAGATCTCCTCTACATTTTGATATAAAAAGTTTTTGAATTTGTTCAGCTTTTGGGCAAATTGACTGCACAGAAGAAGAGGTGGCCAAAAAATGGAAGGGTGCCTTTGGATCAAGTTTTAGCTCCGCTCAAATTGAGTTAATCGTTTGATGTTTGGCCAATAGATATATCAATACAAGTTTTTTTAAAAATATAACAATTTCAGAGCATCTTTACTTTTCTGGGCGGTTATTTTACACCATAAAACTTGAGGAATAGCTAAGCTGAAATGGATTTTTTCGAAAACGACCTCTCCCTTTGTGCAGTCAATTTGCCCAAAAGCTGAACAAATTCAAAAACTTCTTTATTCCAAAATGTAGAGGAGATCTTCGGCTTTCGAATGATGTATAACACTCATATAAATCTGTTCAATATCTTGAGAAATTTACAAAATAGTAAAAGCGCGCATTCATAACTGGACAACCCAATAGCTTGAAACTTTCACTTTTCCGGGTGTTGATCTTCATCCAAAACGTCGACACCGAGCAACCAGAAGAGACTTACTCGCTCAAATTGAGTTATGTAAATGAATGAATTGATCATTTGTTTTTTTATTTAACTATCTTGTAAATTTCGTAATTCAATTTTAAAACACTATTGTCTTTCAGCAAAAACACTTCCGAAATAGAAAAATCTTAAAATAAATGATTTCAAAATCTGTTTAGTTTGACAAAAAAAAACCCTAAATCACATTCAGAAATTTTCAAACAAAAACAATTTTCAGTGATTCTTCCTGCTCGTCGGCATGTGACAACGAGAGTAAATAACAAGAAGTAAAACCTTTTTTTCCCTACTAAAATACCTCCATAGGTCAGACTGAAAAAAATCACGTACACGTATCCGAAAGAGGGAAGAGCCAACACGGCAGAGATGTTTGCCTAAATTTAATAATATTATTGGGAAAATTGAAGCTTGCAAACAGTTTTGATCACAAACAAGAGTTTTGCTAAATCATAACTTGGTTTTGAAGAAGGTTTTTGATAGCTGAAGAGCATTAAAACTTCTGAAAAAACTCTTAGGATTTAAGCAATGTTTAGCGGTTGAATGGGGGTGGTGTGAAAGAGGTGCACTTTTTAAAATCATTGATTCCCCTATTCAGCTGATCCACATCACGCATCTGCATTTTTTCCTCTCTCTCCATTTCCAGATCCTCTTGTTTGTGATCAAAACTGTTTGCAAGCATTCATTTTCCCAAATAATATTATTAAGTTTAGGAAAACATCTCTGCAAAAACAACCGTTTTCTGCAGGGTTTGATTTTCTTCGACATTCCTCCAATTGTTTGCACGACCCTTTTACTGTACTTGTTTACAGATGCTTTTTCATTAAGGGACTTTCATAGACTTTCATAGACAAAGACTATTTTTTTCTGAAACCAACAAAATAATGCATTCAAATTGAAATAAAAAGTTGAATCGATACATAAGTACCACAAGAACAAAGAATCAAATTTAGTGCCTTGCAAGTTGCGAAGCAGAAAGCAAACGTGATCTGAAAGCTGCAAGTTATCCGTTGATTTTAGGAAAATTCATTTACAGTGGTGGAAAAAAGTATTGGCCGCTCATGACAGAACAAGTTTATTGTCATTTTTTTCTTATATAGATTAATCATTTCGTTGTGTCCTGTTACCATTTTTTAGAGGACTTGTAGAAACATTGAATGAAATTTCTCCTTTTGCAAACTTTAGATTATTTAAAAAATTTTTGGAACACAAGAAAAAACTTTTTGAACTTCAGAAAAAACTTGCGATTTTTGGGTGGAAAAAAGTATTGACCGCTCTAGTTTTTAATGTTAATTTTTGCTTTTCTTCGATTCTTTGAAGCAGTTTTTAATTTATTATTTCAGGTGATTTCTCACAAACGAAATATTGGCACTTCGATCAGAGAGATCAGAGAGAGCTTTATCCGTGTCCGAGAAAAGAGAGTCAATCTCGCAATAATCGAGGATGTGTTTCACGTCTCAAAAAGGACAGTCTGACGACTTTGCGAAAGGCAACGCGAGGAGGGAAATGCGTACAAGAAGACCAGGAGTAGACGCCCACGCAGAACAATGGCTAAACAGGACTAAACCTAGTACAAACATCACTTTTCCTCTCCCACTCGCACGGCTGTTAATGGAAGATCGTTCTTGAAAGACGAGTTTGGAGTTGATGTTACTGTTCGAACAGTCCGAAATCATCTCAAAACACGCGGATTGTTCCCACGATGGCCAGCGCGAAAGCCCTTGATGTCTCACAAATCTCGGCGTCTTCGTTTACAGTTAGCATTGGAGCATCAACACTGGAAAGTCGAGACTTGGCGAAATGTAATTCGGAGTGATGAAGTCAAGTTCGAGCTATTCAACCCAAACGGTTATTTTATGATCAAGAGGTCACCGGGAGCACGATATAAGTTGAAGTATATTCAACCGACAGTCAAATTTGGCGGAGGTGGGATAATGTGCTGGGATGCTTTTCTGGACAATTGAAGCCAGGACAGTTTCCTCTCGTTCGTATCGATGGAACAATAGATGCGGTCAAATACGCGAATAGACTTCAGTCATCGATGCTCTCACATGCTCGAACAACGATGGGTCCAGCCCGGCTATTCATGCAGGACAACGACCCCAAACATAAAAGTGGATTGATGATGGGACGTCATGTCAAGATTTCCGCAGACCGTTTTGTCTGTCTTCGCTTCAACAATGTGTATCTTCTTGATACGCCGCCATATTCACCTGATTGTATTCCAATCGAACACTTGTGGGCTCATGTAAAACGAGAACTGAAGGGATTTCGGGTGTCTTCGAGAGGTGAGCTTTGGGACAAGCTTCAAGAAATTTGGAAATCAATATCGCCGCGGTTTCTTGATAAATTGGTATGCCAGAAAGGATGGCGGCAATCATTAAGGCTGAAGGAGGGC